GTTCTGTGTGTATGATAAGAGATGGAGTCACATTAATAGATGGAAGGCAATGTATTATACTCGTTTGAAACTTTCTCATATTATCAAAATTGTAATTTAGCATCAGTGCATAAAACTTTATGATGATTAAATTGAGCCTACAGGAATGCTTTTAATTTCAGTTATGTCAGAACAAACAACGATGTAAAAAATTAAATTATGAGATTTATTTAGTAAATGCAGCTACAAAATATCGTTTTAACATGTTATTGTTTCAGCAACTAGTGGAAAGTTATAACTGAAACCAATTCGTAATTATTTTTTTGTCTTGTATCTAGTAATCAATTATATAGGTACTTTTAGTAATCAATTAATACTTACAATAAATTTTACGGAGTATGTAGAGAATGGAATCCAAAGAAAATCATATCAAAATTGTAGACACTTTGTTAGTACTTAAGCGCATCCCTTGGCATACACACATACATACATACATACTTTGCTTATAATAATATTTACATTGAAATCACACTTGATACCGTCATACATTTAGATAATAAAGTAAAACAACACGTTTTATTGAACCGAACATTTAATCAATATGGCGACGTTTATACATTTCAAATCTAAAATATTGAAAACTATGTTAGCTATCGAAGCGCTTAATAAACTATGTGTTTTTAATTAATATAAATATAACTTCTCGGTGGGTAAAAAGAACTACAGTATTATGAAAGCAAACTGTCGTTATATTATTTGGTAACCATACATAATACAGAATTTATAGTTGTCTATTTACAATTGTTCACTAATCTACTTGACTACAATAGATGTTGAGATCTAGTAGAATGTAAAGTAAATGACAGTTTCGTATAGTACAAAAAAATAATGTTAAGGCACACGTCTTAAAAATAGCATGCTCTTTTAAATTTTGCAATAAGATGAAGATACGTATGAAGACAATGTTGAAAACAAATACATAGAAACCTGTCGATAGTATAACACAAATAACATCTTAGAGTGATAAAACACGTTTTACAAGGCATTGCAGTGACTAAAACCAGATTACTGAAAGGCTGGTCAACTCTTAGTCGACTGTCAAATTCTCTTGACAACTGTCCATTGAGTTCCTAGAAGCGTGATCATACTTGGATTCATACAAGAAGACTCTGTAATAATAACCTTTGGTATTTTAGCATGTAGTACATGATTATATTGGTTTGACGAACCTTTCAGAAAGTGGTAGTAAGACAATTGTAATCTAGGTAGTAAAATTCCAAGAACGTATACTTAGCATTCCATTCTTTCAATAATCTGTGATTAACTAAAAATCGCGGTCGTGACGATGTCGCGCAGCCTATTCAGCGCGCACGCTGTTCATGAGAAAGAGCCCCTCTATGGCGGCTAGAAACTAGTAGATCTTTTATCAGTATATTCACGTTCGTAACCCGCGACTTTTAGTTAATTTAGTATGTCTCACGATAGTTATTATCAAAAAATTGTATGACTGGTATTTTTCAACCTTTACCAAAAGAACTGAACTCTGCTTAGATCTGTGACGAATATAAGATGTAAAGATTATGTTGTACATGCATTTGTAGTTACTTTGAAGTTCATTGTATACATCTATATATATAAAAATCAATTGCTGTTCGTTAGTCTCGCTAAAACTCGAGAACGGCTGAACGGATTTATCTTATCTTGGTCTTGAATTATTCGTGGAGGTCTAGAGAAGGTTTAAAAGGTGAGAAAAATTCGAATAATTGCCGGGAAAATCCTCAAAACAGCATTTTTCTATTTCCCATACAAACGTTTTCTAAATAAAATGGAGAGTCAATTTGTAATTTATTACCGCTGCATAAAGTTCAAATTATTTATTACGATTTATCTGAAAACCTGAAAACGGATATCTGACAGGTAACATTACTATGGTAACCAACCTGATGATTTGTAATTGTTATGGCGTCCTACTTCCATAATATATTTTGGCATCAACATATAAAAATAAAGTTCTGTGGGTTTTCAAGGAATAATATTAGTATTCAGCTGCATCAGAGATTTTAAAGACAAAATACGAATTCAATTGACTGAATACAATTTATTCATAGACTAGCCTCTGTCTGCGGCTTCTCTCGCGTTCTTTTAATGGGGTGAGGGAAGGATTTACAATAAAAAAATGAAATGATGCACGATTCTATGCTGGTCACAAATAACCCGCATACCAATTGTTAGCTTTCCACATTAAAAATTGCAAAATACCCCATACAAACTTTCACCTCTGTTTCACGGAAGTGGAAGGGGGTTAGAAAAAGACAAAAAGTAGCCTATGATACTCTCCATCTTTTCAACTATCTCAAATCAAAAACCTTCCTGACTCCGTTCTGTCGTGAAATACGGACAAACAAACAAACAAGCACATACAAATTTATATTATTAGTATACCTCTACATTTCTTAAGTCATCTGAGATTTGTGTGACAAGTGAGTTTACAAAGTCAATGTGTCATAGATTTTTTTTATACTATGGTATTAATATTAAGGTATGCAAAGAGGTTGACAGCAGTCTAAGGAGATAAAACCACGAATAAAATATTTTCAGTTTACTTGAATTCGTATTTTTTATATGTATATCAAAAAAACTAGCTAAATGCACATAGCTAAAAAATAATATTAGTCCTTTTCATTTTAGACCGTCAAGGCCAAATTCACTATGATAGTTTGCTGTTTTTTTATGGCATAAGCCGGTAAACGAGCAGACGGATCACCTGATGGTAAGCAATCTGCGCCGCCCATGGACACCTGTAACACCAGAAGTGCTAGAAGTGCGTTACCGGTCTTTTGGGAATTGGTAATTTGAGGATTGTCAGGGATTGGGGGGGCTGAGGGAGGGGTAATTGGGCCTCCGGTAACCTCACTTACACAGCGAAACACTCCTTTAGGTAACCGAGGGCTGGGCTCGCTGTCATTGCAGCGGAAAGTCCCCTCTTTAAAAGTGGCTTTAGAGAGGCCATCAATGCGAGGACCGCCCGGAGAACACGGTGGAGCATATCGTGGCGGTGTACCTTGCATGGGCTGAGCACCGCCGTGTTCTCAGGGATGTAGGAAACGGTGACCTCTCGCGTTCGGCTCTGGTTCAGGCCATGGAGCGAGGGGGATTGGGATGCAGTCGCATCATTCTGCGAAGCAGTTATGCTTGCCAAGGAGAAAGCGGAGCGCGTGAGGGCACGAACTTCCTCACGCCCCAGCCGTCGCGGGAGACACTCTGGGCGTCGGAGATCGGCCGACCACAGGCCACCGTAAGTGCGGGTCTGTAGACGAAGAGCAAGGGTAGCTCGCCACCCGACCAGAACCAGTCCCGTGCATACTGCGCGCGCCTTACAGAGCCATGACACCATCATAGATGGAGCCCAGTAGGGCTGATGCTCGATACGGTGCCGTGGGAGGCCTAACGAGTTGACGGGGCTCCGGCTCGACGAGCAGGAGTAGGAACGGAGTGGATTTTAGTCAGTAAGAATCTGTCACTCCCTCTCACCTAACCCAAGGCGGGAGAAGTGATTGGATGATTTTCCGACCTCAAAAAAAATCTCCTTTAGGTAATGACAACCCGATGTGTAAAAAACCACCAAAAAAACTCCTTATATTATTGGTATTGATTACGCTGTGGAAATTATGGACAATAGAGCCAAAGGGGTGTATTAAGTCTTATAGAGGACATTAATATCAACATTAAAGTCCATGTATCATATGTAACTAACCTAATATCAGAATACCTATTTTTTCATTTAAATGTTTGCGATAGTAACGCATGTCGTACCGGTACATATCAGGTCACATTATAGGAGAGAGGAAATCCCAAAATGACGGAAACTATGCGCTAAAAAACCAGGACTAAGGACGTTGAAATAAAGAGGGGCTCTTACCTTTTAAACCATTGAACCTATTTGGTGAAATTCGGTACAGCGATAGTTTGAGACCCGGGAAAGGACATCTAAAAGTTTTTAACCCGAAAAACCCACGAAACCGGGAACTGTGCTGTTAAAATCACTATATCTATTTGATTGAAATGCGATACAACATTGATTTGCAAACATAGAATAGTGAAACGTCACGAGACGGGCACTGTACGGGTAAAACCTCTTATGGGATTGTTTATTTTAGAAACCACGAAAATAAATTCATTTCTCAATAAATATAACCTAAGTACTGAATCGATTGTGTTGATATTTTGTTCCAGTTGTACAGCCGTAGAATATACCTTGACAAAGACTAATTTAAAAACCCAATTTATACAGAAGTCGCTATTTCACGCGGACGAAGTCGCGGGTACCAGCTAGTAAGTAATAGATTGTATTTAAATAAGATTGAGGTTCATTTATTTGTTTCATGGTTTCAATGAATAATGTGATGTTTACAGTTGGAATTATATTTTCATTCTGCAAAGTACAAAATCATATTTATTTATACGAATACAAATTTTTAGGCAAACTTCATACCACCTAAAAATTTTGTTTCTCACCTTTTAAACCTTGCCTGGAATTTCCCGAATATTTCAAGATTGGCTAAATCGGTTCAGCCGGTGTTGTGTATTAGCGAGACCAACGAAAGGAAATTCTTTTTTATTTATATAGATTTAAAACAAATCAGTCACTTATATAATTTTCGCTCTAAAATAAACGGAGTGGTAATTACTACGACTTATTGTAATTGTAACTACGATTATAATGTGCAATATACAATTATTTCCATATTATATCAAGACGCACTCCACAGTTCACAAGACTGTGCATCTACTAAACATACATGGGCTATTCACATACGGCAGTACGTAACGTTCAATGTTTCTCATTTAATGTACATTGATAGGTACCTATTATATCATGTTAAGTTCTATTGCACAACTGACTAAACTTATTGACTGAAATATATCAGTATTATTTTCTGCAATAAAATCTCTTTGTAAGACCTTTATTGTTGTTCCTGGTCTAGGTGCGGTGCCTGTTATCTCACAGCCAACAAGCTAAATCATAAGTCAAACGAATGGCTTGAGCGATTCGCTGATTGTAATTATTCAATAAATTGGTGATTGTCTCATTCAACCTTAACACGGAAGAAAATAGTTGTGTGATAGCTAGGGAAGGAGTAACAAAAATAATTCATGGACTGTAAATGCCTTATCATACTAGCGGATTGGGAGCGTGTTCAAAGCGGAGCGAGTGTGCAACGAATACTCTGCGGCTGTCAACGAATACGTTGCGTAGCGAGCACATCGTAGACACGTTGTAAATACGTTGTTTAGCGTTAGCGCGTAGAAAATCATGTTATGGGTCCGCGACGTCCTCGCTGCGTAGTCGCAGTTTGTTGCGACGCATTCACTGCGCGCCCGTCCTGCAGTCGCTCCCAATCCGCTAGTCCGATAAGGCCCTAAGTGTTAACTGACCCAGTTTTAATCGAACCAACACTATCACATCAATATGTCCATCAAACAGAAACACGAACCGTTACAGCAACGCATTCAAATGTCCAGGTGTAACACAAGCACTCACACTCGGTTCAGGTTACGTGTGGACTTTGTTATTGTGTTGGAGTGCGACGCGGTCCTGTAGGAGGGCGTCGTGGGCTCGTAGGCGCAGAGCTTCAGCACTGGCTAGGCGGGCCAGCGACGGTGACGGCGAAGGGGGCGATGGAGGTGAAGCCGGCGCCGGCTCAGGCTCAGGTGGACGCAACGCTGGTGGTGGAAGCGCCAGTACGTATCTGTTGAGGATGTTTCATTTAAAGATAAGCTGTCAAATATCTGATGTATGGCTTTAATACTTGTAGGCACAAGTAAGACGCTTTAACTGCGTCGTTAAACTATTTAAAAGTAGATTAAGATTCTTAAAATAACATCTAAGCGTTCAGTTACCGAATTGCTCAAGTTGTAACAAGTTTGGTTATTTATTTTTATAAAGGGGTCTAGAGTATTTCAATTACCTACCTGTGTAGCAGCGCCCTGAAGGCGGCGGCTGGCTCGGCATCATGCCACAGTGGTGCGGGTACTCCCAGCGCGCCCAGTCCAGCTCCGAGACCGAGCGCCCACCACTCGCCGCCTGGAGGGCCACCGCCACCCCATTCTCCTACCACTGAAACAAAATGAACTGTTACCACATACTGCCAAAACTAGGCCGCCTTTATGATGTCACTTTAGAACAACCTGAAAGTTATTTACACGTTCTTCTCCTTAGGAACGAAACTAATAAAATATAGGTTCAACGGAATGGCATGCTTTTGGTTTAAATTTCAATTTAAAGTGAGTGCACTCTTATCCCTAAAACGATAAGTCAGTCAGCTGGTGATCGACAGCCGAACTACTAAACAAACAACTGATTCACCTAACAAGACTAAACTAATATAACGAATTTGTGCATTCCCCTTTAAGTAAAAGCAACCCTTTGAGGAAATCACTACGGTTAATAGATAAAATGAATAATGTAAATATTTGTTCTGATTAATCCCCTTGCAGCAGGTGTGAGCAATGATAGCTGACACAGTGCCGCCTTTGTGGTGTAACGTTGCACCTGCCTTGTGGCAGCAACCGGTGCTGCTGTAGAATGTCCAATTGACCGTACAATATATTGACTACCATAATTTATGTGACTGCCATTACCACCCCTAGGTACATTTTTCATTTATTTTTAAGCCAACTAAAGGACATCTAAGTACTGATTTCACTGGGCAGCACTGCTTTCCGATACCCCTAAAAATGTTAAACTGTGATTTTAAACGTCATATCCTGTGTATTTATTTAGGCCCAGCACCTATTAATTTAATTATTATTGCGTGCATATTTCATCAAAATATGGTCAGTAGTTATCTGTCTGAAAAAGAAAATACTTTCCAACTAACATAACACACATTTACGCCTTTCTTCCCCGAAGGGGTAGGGAGAGGTGCACATTACGGCATTTAATGCCACTGTACAATGCAACACCCACTTTTCACTATTTATGTTATGAGTCCCATGTAATAGGGAGGTAAAACTATTGACATATACCGGGCACTATTCCAGACTCCGTGCTGGGATTTTTAAAAAACCCAGTAATACTTTGCCCAACCCGGGAATCGAACCCGAGACCCCTTACCCGGCAGTCGCAGTTGAGACCACTCGGCCAATGAGGCAGTGTTTCCAACTAATAGCTTACTAATGACCTGGCCAACAGCTTGTCTAAACATGAAGTAAGCGTATCAATACAAATCATAAGCAATTATCACAATTGTCGCGTGCCGGGCGGATAACGAGCGAGCACACATGGACAAATATCATAATCATATGCCTACGCACACACAGAAACGTTAAAATCTGATTTAAAATAAAACTTCATATCCGACTGCCAAAAGGAGGGATATGTTCTTACATTTCCGAAACTACAAAAGACGAAAAGAACACATGACTAAGTAACAAACCCAAGTTATCTCATACCCAATAAACAATTTTAATCCTAAGTATCTGAATCTATTTGTATTTTTGACATAAATTCAATATAACTAATCCGTTATCAATTTCATGTTAAAATAGATAGTACCCACCTAGGAAATTAATAAAATATCAATGAAGTATACCACCGCACCGTGATAATATTGATGAATGTACCTAAATAAATCACCCTAAAACATAATCTGAAATTGATTGGACTACTTTTTGTGACACCAATACGCACACATTCAAATCTCGTAAACGTGTTAACAGTAAATATATCACCCGGTAAACGGATTGCCAGTAATTTGTTGTTATCGGCACATCGCGTAAATCGGCCGGTCATTATACACACATTAGTGGTACGACACCCTAATACACGACAACACCGGTGTGTGTGTGTGTGTGTGTGTGTGTGTGTTTCCGTAACAATTAGGCTTACTGTCCACAATCCGTGGACAATTTTCATTTTTTCTAAGTAAGATGCAAGCATTCGTCATTTATAGGCCGCATATTTTTTGTGAAGGATGCATGCATTCGTCGAATGACGCAACGTGGACCTACCCTTACCCTTACTTTGTAATGTTATCCTTACTTTTACTTTAGATCTTTGGTTGTTGTTCGTTACAATTTACTATTTAATTGCTGTCTGCTATTATACTCGTATTTTTGGAATAAAAACCTTATCTACGTGTAATTAAGGAGCGTAATGCTTTGTGGAATTAGGTAAATAAGATAGATTTTATGTTACACGTTTAATTTATTTTTAATGACCTTTAAAGCTACTTAATACACCATTTAGTATCCAAAAGCGTGGCCAAAGGGACATTTATTTTCACGAAACGTCCATCCATACGCCAGTACTCCTATATTAAGGGTGTATATTACGTAATTCACTTGTCGTAATTTTAGTTTTCCCGATAGACATAACAGAATCTAATAATACTTTGGTCGACGAGAATCAAAACTGAAACTTGATACTTGTATTGAAATTGGTGCCTACCCATTCTTGGACTAAATAAGTGTTTAAAGAAATTATAATAGGTTCGCAAAAAAATTCCAGTCACGGCAATTAAGTGTAAATCAATTGTGCACACAAAACATGTGAAGTTTTAAAGTAGCTAGTTGTGAGGGTCTGGTACTGCGGTGTAGGGTGCCGGGCAATTACGCCACAGTCGGTATTAATTGCGTCGGTGATTTCGGTGTGACTGACGCCCGATACCACAGCCAATGTATTAGATACATGTTAGGGCTCCTACGTATACAGTGTGAACCTTTCAGTTGTAGAAATACTGAAATATATATTCCAAAGAAGAATACGTACCTATGTCACTAACCCCATTCTTCAAAAAGATGTCCTAAAAACAGGCTAAGAGACGTGCTTTATGATACACCTGGACCTTTTAAACTGCGATCACCAAAACGACCGAAAACGTAAAGATTATGTATGCCCTTTATGTAGAAGAGGCCCATAGTACAGTGGACTATCTCACAAGTAAAAGTATAATAAGCTTCATAAAACTAAAACGAATACAAATCAACGGAAATCCAGTTAAGTATTTAAGCAACTACTAAGGCTTTTATAAAAGTATCGACACGACCATCAGCCCTAGTTTATCTACAGATTGCTTGCTCACACGACTGATAGGGATCGGTAAATGATCGGTAAACATCGGGTGCAATCGGTATTACTTTACCACCGTGCGCCCCCGGTAAACGGACACCAATTACGTGAAATATATAACTTGTGAGCTGATGACGACTGTACCTTGTCATTATAAAGGGATGTGAATCGTTTTACAAGAAAAGTATTTTCCCCCAATATAATTATGGGTGTTTATTTTCGATTCCTGTGATTATCGGAATAATAGAACATTCATTTGAGCATTGCTCCATTTTATTGTATATTTTCGTAAATGGGTTATCGGATAAATAAACCGAAAGTGTTTCTATGCTATGCAGGGATGATTATTTCATAATATGCAGGGATGGTGTGTAAACTCACCATGATCGTGATGCATGAACGGCGCATGGTCTCTCCCGAGTGCTTTTTCTCGTTTGCGCCATTTTGCTCGTCGATTTTGGAACCACACCTGTTAACAAAACCATAAATAAATGTCTTTGAAAAGTCAGTCGTACGCCAGCCCACTAGCATGGTAATAACTTTAATTGGATCATCTATTGCATTCATTTCTATTCAATGCTCCAATATACTAACTTCCTGTTCCAATTCCTGTCTAGTAGTTTTTAAATGACTTCATCATCAACCAAATTTTCACCGATTACACAGTGACTATATTTTGAACCTCGTAAGAACGGACGTGCCACACAACGTCCGCACGAAAAATCATGGCTGGATTCTTTCCGAATAATGGATCCAATCCGAGTTGTGGACGATTTTAATTTTTTTATTGTGTAATTGTTGGCAATTTGACGCTTTCCCCGCCTCCCTCGCCCCCCACTCGTCCGCACCTCTCGACTACAATGGAACCGTAATGAAAAGCAATTACGCATACGTGGTTTCCATTCCTTCATATTCATGTACCAAAATGATCCTTCTACCATTGTCGTAACGTCGACTTTTGCATGTTATCGAACGGAGAATAGAAACAAATTGAGCTAGTCGAGCCACATTGCGCTAATAAAAAGACATTGTAGAAGGAAAAATTGGTGTAATTTCATAATTTTCAAATGAGACCATTTTACCGAGTCGCTGCATTCTTACAATGGCGCCGACTCGACGATTATGGCCGACAACACACCGCGCGAAGAAATTGGCGTGATTGACTATCCCATTAAAATGGCACTACAATTTTATTGCAATTATCCACTACTCAAATGAAGTAGTTAAACTATTCGCAATTAAGTAACTGCTCTGTTACTATTAATTTATCAAGTTCTCTGAAAGATTTCCTCTTTAAGTGATTCTTTTCTAAAGTAAGTATGTGTGTGTCTCTAAACATTAGGTACACAACACACATATAAAAACTGATATTATTTTTGACAATATCAGAGAGTTAAAACTCGTTAGACTTAGTTCAAATTCAGACTAGAAAACTATTCTGCATTCTTCCTCGTGACCTTAGTACGTAGGAAGTATAGCACAGAGGTTCCCAAGCCAGCAGTGAAACTCATCAATTAAACATGGACTTAATTCGTACAGTTCGTCAAGTGCCACTCGCAATGAATGGAACGCCTCGTGTCGATTACATAGAGCAATCACTAGACATTTTTATTGAGACCCACTCCATACCATTCTAAATTTCAACTTGAAACTTCAAACAGTGAACCCAAGATGAGCCGTAAGCTTTCAGAATAAGGTTGAATTTAAAAGAGCGACGAAGAATGTAAGTACTACGTCCTTTGTCGGCTAACGGCATCTATGGAGTGGATTAAAAGCAATTTGCACTGCGTTGAGTGTGATTTAAGAACTGTGTGGCTCCCCCCAATACTTCGCTACCAATAGGGTTGGTACTCAACAACTGCAAATACGAATGCTCTTATGAAATGTCTTTGGTATTAACTTCGTATGATATTAAGAGTTTTATAGAAGTACATAATAGAATGAATCTTGTTTGCTTCTTTAGTCGAATTATATGATAATTCGAAAGTGAGTTTATTAACGAAAACGTTTACTCATATACCTAGATATAAGCCCCTTCGCCTTTGAACAGAATATCCACGTTAATTTCTTTCACAAGTTTTTTTTCATTTGGCGTGACGTTATAAAATTTATCAATTCACGAAATCTTTAAAACATCTACACCAACCACCATTTGCCAAATTCTGATTTCGAGAAAGTGTTCATAAAACACGAAAAAGTACCTACAGACATTTTTACATAGTCTCCACTCCACAGACAAGAATCTGGATTATTTTCAAAAGTCTTTTTGCATGAATTTCTCTGAAATTAAAGGATCAACATGGTAGATCCGCAGACACGATGTCATCCAAAATCATCCGAAAGTTCTCACAAATCCCTCAAGTGTCGTGTCTAATACTCGCTATTATACTGACGCCCCTCCCTCCCTCGCAGACCGCATGAAGTCCCTAATTACCAAATTGCAGGCGCTCGCTTTAACTGCAGTTAAAGAGCACTCCGCGCCAAACCGCGCTTAATTTAACCATTGTTACTTGAGATTACGAGTAATTAAGCAATAGTAGGATTTGATTAGGTGGCTAATCGATGACATTTAATTGTAGTTGAACCTGTCTTTCAGAACGTTTTAAGGAGATAGACGGAGTTATCTGCTATATCAGTCGATTTTCTCTAGTTAATTACATTTTAATCGAAGCCTTAGATATTCGTTTTCATCCCCGGTTAAGTCTCATGATAGTCGGACATCTAAGGTAAAAGTAACTGAGGGTTAAAAGTTAAAAATCTTATTTTTGTCAACAAAAGTCAGATATAACAGCGATTATCACGAAACATGGTCACAGTGCGACGGCAGCTACTGACAAAGAACATAAACGGTCGTTCAGCAACAGTCTCCACTCAAGAACAGAACGGACGACGTAAATGCACATTGGCTATTATTATCTTTTAACGGAACTTAATAATTTCATTCTTGTACAAAACGCGGCAGCCTGCAAGAGGCCTGATTACAATATCTGCAACAATTAGCGAAGGAGCCGCCGTAATGTGGTGCCGTGACGACGTTGCAAACATTAGCGCTCTCGCCACGAGAGCGTAATGACGCGCGAATTAGCGAGCATTGTACTGCGAGCCGGTGTGACGCAACCGTGCACTTAATGCGATTAACTGTAGTCTTCTTCCATAGAATAGAAGCTTGCTAATTACCGGACTGTCTCAGCCGGACAGACTTTGCAGAATAAGATTGATACGTTGTTCTGTCCACTCCTTTTACCAAACAATGACCAAGGACCTATAATAAGGGAAACATCAATTACAGGTTGTTATGTACCCGTCCACGATATTTGATAATGGAGGTGGACATTTATAAAAGTTGTGTCTCATTCACACAAAATTCGTTTAGTAATTTTGATCGGATTTTACTTAAATGGTGTGACACATGACTTTGTTATGCAGATATATCTTTATTCATGTCTGTTAAGAAGCCAGTGTGCAGTCGGCTTTAGCTTTGGTGACGCGTTGCGGTGAGCGCGGCCCATCGACAATTTGCGCTCATTGTGCGCGGTGCGACGAGAATAGCACTAATTTTAATTACCCTCGCACCTCTACGGAACAGCCTTTGCAATTTGGTTAAACATGCGGCTATGTATCACTTTACATGTGAACTAGTCATACAAAATGAATGTCATTCTTGTCAAATTCTCAAAATATGTTATACCTACGTATGTTTATGACATTCTGACGACCCTATTGGTCGGCTGGTCTGCAACCAATAAGGAGTTTTCAGGTCTAAAATTAAATTAAATCCTTAATTAACAAAATTCCATCGAACAATTTATTTATGAACAGTTGGTGGTGATATATTTCATATTAAGCTTCAACAAAATTGTTCGCGTAATTAATTAACTTGTTAATAGTAAATTGGAATCAAAATTAATTGTGTTATTAACATGATAGTACATTAAACTGGAGTAATTAATGTGCTCGCATTACAGTGAAATTATATTCTGGTTTAAATTGAACTATGTATGTAGTAAGAGATAGTATGTACTATCCTTAGGTACGTTAGAAATTGCCTTTATGGTAAAGTTGTCATAATAAGCCTGTTAAGCATTTTAAATGTGGACTGGAGTGATACCACGGCCTCACAGAGAACCGACGTTGTGTGAGTGTGGTTACCGGACGCCCAATTATTCCTCTCTCCAGTCTCCTTAATCCCCGAATCCCCCACAATCCTCAAAATCCCAATTCCTTAAAGGCCGGTACAACACTTGTAACGCCTCTGGTGCCCACCTTTTACCATCAGGTTATCCATCTGCTATTTTATCCGCTTATAACATAAAAAAGAATATGGGCTCAGTGATATTTAATTCCCAGGTCGAGGAATATGATGTTGAATATTCAAGAATTTTCAAAAATGTACAATAATAGCTAAGACCTGGTTTGGCGTTGTTGGTCAGAGCAAGGAGTCCTGGACCTGGATTGATTTCACGGGGCAGGGTAATTTGTAGAATATCCACAAGTTTTTGGATAACAGTATTTGGTATCTGAAAATTGCCTAGCATACTACAGTAACCTATGACTTGCGACTTGTAACACACTGGTAGAAAGTGGGTGTTACATTATAGGTACATATGTGTTACATTATAGGTGCATATTTTGCTTACCTCTCTTCTGAGAGTAAAATAATGACGAAATGTTATGGTTATGCTTAAAGTAGTAATATGGTGATCATGGATCTGTCTCACCTGCACTCGAGCTTCACTTAGGTCCAGCCTCATAGCGAGCTCCTCCCGCGTGAATACATCTGGGTACTGCGTCTTATCGAAGGCGCGCTCCAGCTCGTGCAGCTGGTACGTGGTGAACGTGGTGCGGCTGCGGCGCACCTGCTTGGACAACGAGAGTACAGGTCGATGGGAGCATTTATAAACAGTGAAAAGGGTTAATTTTACGTTATTCCAGGGAACAGCAAGTATGGTGGGTGTTACATAACTGTTCAGAACAATACTTTTTGTCTGGCAGGAGCACCTATAAACACATGCTCGTCACGAGTGAAATCCTTAATTTAGGGTTACATTTTCTCTTTCTTTAATTAAATGTTGTGCTGTTACGGAATCGTACGTATGATACACTAGGCAGCAGTAATTACAGCTTACAGTGTAATCAAAGTTTTTGATTAGGATATTTTCTATGAGTTGTGCATGGAAACATAAATGGTCGTTTAAGCGTAGTAGGTACAAACAAAATTATGTCTTATGCATTCATCAATTCAGATCAAGTTACCTTGCGCGGTCTGCCAGCGTCCAGCGCTTCCATATGCTCCCCGTGCTCGCTGTGCTCGCCGTGCCCATGTTCCAGCTCATTGTGTTCGCTTAGATCGTGCTCGTGTTCCGAATCCGAATGCGCAACACTTTCGCTTTTCAACTCTATACGATCTGTGAAAGAAAGAAAAGAATTATTGTGCGTTATTGGAAAAAAGCATAAAGGAAAATTTATCAACTTAAAACTCAAATCAAACTGATTTTATTTGTACTTCGTTCCCACACGATGTGTGATTACGATGACTATATCAAAGATATTTTCCAATAATTCGGATATGATGGTGATGTACCTATAGTTTGTTTTCAACATAATGGAATTATTTTAACTTATTACTACAAATCTTTACTTTACCCATTCCACGACAGTTGCATTTACCACCGATCTACTTTCTCAATAACACTAGAAATTACGACATGTGTAAAATGATTGCAATTTTACTTATTTGCGTAACTGAAGAAATTACGTTACGTTTTACTACAACGATATTTTTCAATCAAATTAAAAGAAACATACCTACGCGTACTCTAAATAAAAAACAAAATGTGGGTGGAAATAAATAATTTCATGCTTAAGGTAGCTCTACACTCGCGTGTGACGTCGCATCGTGAATTCGCGCCGTACCTAGCGCAGGTGAACCGCGCGCGAGCTGTATCCTTCCACACTCACAAAGCTTCACCGTCTTATTCGCGGTTGACATGGACGACGATGTGACTGCTGCTGCTGTATTTACCTTTGTGTTAAACATAGTAACACAAAGACAACAACACAACATAATATTAGAAGTAGGTACCTATATAAAATAGTATCTTTTCTGCTCGGCTCGAAAACACTTCATGAGGGTCAGTTCTGAATCGTTCTAAATGTTGCATACATATTTAAACAACAACAACCATAATAATAATAAAACGAGTGCTGCTAGTGTGGATGCGTTCGCGGGCCGCAAATTATTACATATTTGTCGCGGACCATAAAACCGACAATGAACGCGAATCGCGAATAATATCTACACTCGTAATTCGCAGTTGCCGCAGGTTTTTGCGGACGTTCGCGCCGCGAGTGTAGACCCGGCTTTAGACACCCGCATTTCTTAACATCACGGTCAGACGCATCATATACCTCGGCCATTTTATCCTCGGCCGTCTCAAGAACAACACGATTGACTACTCATTAACTTGAATATTTTTAATTTTTAATTCTAATTAGTTTTTAAAAGTATTTATTGTATTTAGTCCTAAGATTTATGAGAATTGTGATATTTTCCGTAGATTTTAAACTTCTTAATTTAATTACTTGTAGTAGATATTGAATGTAGTCCTATATACCTAGATAGCACGTGGAAGCACATGGCAGATATGTTTTTGAAACTAGAACCAATGTGTAAGTACTATTTGTAATTATTTTATTATCATCATTTTAACATTATTATTTTTACTTTCCTATCATTTTAGTACAATTCCGAACAATTATGTGACACAACTACTTGAATTTTTTTGTCTACGTGTTTAATGATCATCGGATTTAATTATGGTACCTACACTAACATAATCGCAAACGTATCTTTTGAACACGAGGCATTGTATTCGGTTTCCGGGTTAACTGAAAAATGTTTTATTCGATTTTCATAATTTTCAATTCAATACCTTTAGTACATTGTCAAAATTAAACTGTCAAACACCAAGCGGTCACCGGTGACCGTAACCTATTGTTCTATAATTTTGTCTAGAGGTATAATGACGGTACTCGACGAGTTAAATACACATCTACCCGCTTCTTGCTATAATAAAACGCGTGATGTACTTGAAGGTCAAATGGTGGCGACCGACCGCATGGCATCCTTTTCTTTTTCTTACGAATGCATAAAGACGCCGATCCACTGCGGCGCAAACTGTGCACGAACACGTGGCTCTATTTGCGTAAATTAATTTACTGGACCACGTAATTTATGTCCACGTGTTTTATAGTGGAATTATAGTACACACTATACCTACATTAACCCATGCCTATAACAAGGCCCTCACATGGTATCCATCGTGTGTAGTACCATTGCAGTAGCAATGCAACTACAATACATCATAGTTTTTAACTCGTGTCTCGTGGATTATTTTTGTAATGTGTAGAAGCATATGCTCACGACCTCGTGGTCAAACAAATAAATCGTTGCAACTAGCTTCTAACGCGCGTCATACGTGTTGGCAACGCATTTCTAACTTATCGGGTGTTGCGTGTTCTCATGGGTGGCACTGATTGCTTCCTATTAGGGGATCCGTCAGCTCGTTTATTTCAATAAAAAGTCGAATGCCTTGTTTTGTCGTGCACAACGTGTGTAGCGATTTTTTTAAAAACATTGCCTCACTCTTCGATTTTCTCTTGTGTCGTGGGTGCGGTTACAAACATACAATATTACATACACATGACACCCAGACCCGGAACAACAACCTGTGGATCACACAAAGAATTGTTCCGTACGGGAATCGAACCCGCGACACGTTGCACGGCGGCCAGTTGCCCAGTCACAGCGCCAACCGTGCAGTCAAATAACTATGTAGCACATGCTTATAGGTCGTTGATGACGTGGCACAATATGTTTACTGTGCATGGAGTATATTGATAGCATTGAGCTATACAACGTTTTACTTGAGCAAGCCCCCATGTACCCAATAATGTTTATCGGGTCTGTGGGTTGCAGTTAGGGTTGCCACCCGTACTTTATAATAAAGTATTGTACGTTATTTAAGGTAATTGTACTCTATACTTTATAAGAAGAATAAAGTACACGAAAATACTTTATTTTTGCAAACTTCATTTCTATTAAAGTCGTAAGTATTTTTCGGTAAACTTATCGATTCGATATTGATATTTATCGATTTATGTTGAATCGATAATTCGCCAGCGCCACTTAAACAATTTCTAGTAAAGATGCAATTGTTTAGTATTTCAATGCAATTGTTTAGTAAAGGTACTAATTTAATACAAACTGCAAAAAGCAATAAAAAATATATTTTTAAATATAATACTAAATAAGAATAAATTGTACTTTATTTTTGTACTGTGTACTTTTTTTTCTTATCTATAATCGTCAATGTACTTTACATACGAAAGAAAAAGGTGGCAACCCTAGTTGCAGTTGGACACTATTGGGGCCATTTTCTCCCAAAGCGAACACATTACACGCGCATAACCTCTATACACACGTGCGCGCAGTGCAGTGGATCTTCACCCTTACTGAAATATAACATAACATACCATCACGCCTATTATCCCCGAAGGGGTAGACAGAGGTGCACATTACGCCTCTATACTATGTAACACCCACTTTTCACTATTTATGTTATGAGTCCCATGTAATAGGGGGTGAGCAGTGAAACATAACATAACAATACCACACCTTTTATCCCCGAAGGGGTAGACAGAGGTGCGCATTATGCCACTGTACAATGTAACACCCACTTTTCACTATTCATGTTATGAGTCCCATGTAATAGGGGGTGAGCCTATTGCCATATACCGGGCACAATTCCATACTCCGTGCTACTACTGAGAATTTTTTTAAAACACATTAATACTTTGCCCGACTCGGGAATCGAACCCTAGACCCCTTGCTCGGCAGTCACACTTGCGACCACTCAGCCAACGAAGCAGTCCTTAGTGAAAAAATAGATGTTTTACCTTCGATTTGTATTAAAGTAGAATTAATTAAAGAACTTTTACATCCTTTTATGTCCATCGAATCTACACCACATTGACGATTTCAGCATTAAACCCTTTTACCAGCGTTAAACCCTTAACCATTAAGTCCTTACTATTTTAATCTGACCTGAGAGGTGATAACTATTTGTAAGTTCCGATTATTAGGATTTTGCCATAAAAATAATTTATTCGTGTATTTTTTTCTCAGGTGTTTCAACAATCGTTCTGCCATCCATCACGGAGCGGTGACTAATTCAACAATATGAAGATCATGTGAATGATAGCGGGTCCAATTCTCAACTGATATCTGAATGTAAGTAACACAAGTTTGTTGTCATTGAGTATCTAAATAGAGGTTAAATAGATAATATGTTAATCTTAGAATTTGATGTAATGACTGTCATTAATAGACTGGCCTTGAAAGTGTGACTACCGAGCAAGGGGTTTCAGGTTCGGTTTTCAGCTGTGCTCAAATTAAATTGCTATGCCTCAATGGTTACAATAGGGTACATAACTAATTTTTATTTTAACTCGTCGAGTACCGTCATTATAGACACAATTATAGAACAATAGGTTGCGGTCATCTGTGACCGCTTGGTGTTTGACAGTTTAATGTCCGTCTGGTAGATTATTTTAAAACATTACACACGTGTAATTTATTATTTTCAAGTAACGAATACTTTCGACGATATATTGATTTGAAATGTCGCGTGACGTCACTATCATGTACATTTTATACGTAGAAATGACGTTTTAGCCCCTACTCCTAAACTTTGATTCGTTATATCTAAGTATCATTTTATTATACAACAAAATAAAAAAAATACGTGTCTAATATTTTTTCATTACCTAACTGACGGACTAATCAGATTTTTAATTAAAAAAATACCCTGTCATCATCCCTGTAAATGTATATGCGACTGTACAACAAGGTTCAATATCTGAGTCGGATGCCATGTTAAACATCATAGTTCTATACGTTTAAAGACTACATCACACTAAACGACACAATTTTCTCATAACAGTCAACTCAAACAAACCATTCAAAAACTGTTAAAGTTCACAATAATCGCTTGTTCCCACCGCTTCACATTTGATTGACATGACATCGATCTGCTAATCCGGTGCTACTGCTCGGTACTGGCCCAACGTAAGCCGCATCACCCTACATACAGCTTTCACATGCTGAACATGTGAATGGATAATGTACCCTACACCCTACAGATACAGATTGAATTCTCTTGTCAAGTTTATGACCCTCGTTAAACAAGCCGGATTTAACAAAACACACGTATTGTAAAGCACTTAACATCGTTCGTATTCACTGTTTATTTATACTAATACTATTTTTATAAGAGCTTTGTTACAATTGAACTGTAACGTCTGAACAATGCGATGAACAAATGAGAATGATTATAAAAGATGTTCAGTATGTTGTTAGCTGTAAAGCAGCCCTTGATAATGGTAATGCTCATCTTATACGACCCTTACTCGCTTTGTAATTTCAATAATCTATACAATAATGTGTCTATACGAGAATTTTATTTCTGCATTTTAAGGGGGTGTTAATTAATAGTGAATTAAGTAGATAAGAAGATAATTTTGTAAAACAATTTCCAACTTTCTGTTTAATTTGTCTCATTGGTTAAGAGGTCGCACTAGTAAAGCAATTCAAGGCCATGGACTGATTGCCTTAAGTACGGATGATGCATTTAAGTGTATTTTACTTGTTCATTTTTAATAACAAAGTTAATTTGTACAAAAGTAATATCTAAAAAACGAAAATAAGGGCTACAACTCACTAACTGTCCAACTCCCTTAGGGAAATAGTATTTGGTATCGTAATCGCAATTTTATTTATCCAGGTACAATGGAGTACCCTCCGACCATGTGTGTATGCCGATAAGTTGACTGAACACCTATAAAGCGCATACAACTTATGCACCGAGGATAAAAGTAGTGGACGTGCCATATACACGTAGGCCACGTACACGTACACCTTAGGTACGTATTCTTTATCTATCTTTACTAATAAAATATTACATCAAAAAATTAACAAACGCTCTCGCCGCCCCTACACTTTTGAAAAGTTCCCCTCGGATTCCATGGGATCCCATCAAGAGATCTTGACCTGGTGGAAATGGGACCACCACGAGAGTATGACCTTTCCAACAAAAAAGAATCATCAATCAGGTAACATACACACAAAAAAAAACCAAAAATGCGTACAGCCGAATTGATACCCTCCTCCTTTTTGGAAATTCGGTTTAAAAAGGAAACGATTGTTTGTGTTGAGTATGCTACAAAACTATTGACTGTTTTAAAAAAATCTTGCTACTTGAGAGTTTCGAAATGAAAACATGCAAACAACATCCTTAGCATTTTGGCCAAAACTATGAATCTAAATAGTGACATCAACATTTACTATATAATTATGTAAATGATATTATTTAATTCTCAGGTCTCAACTCTGATGGCACATACCGGAAAGTAAAGAAATGCTTCAAGACAGGAGTAAATAGATCACAACACCGCTGCATCGGTCGCCAGGCGTGATACACACCATGGTAAGGGAACACAGCACTTATCTACCTGTACAATCCTTACTAGGCTAGCCCGAACTATAATATACAGATAGGGATTTTTAAGCGCAAGACTTGTTTCATCAGCATCAGAAGCCTATAAGTGACCACTGTTGACCACTGGTTTGAGCAATCACCACGCTTGCTCATTGCAGGTTGGCGATTTCAAACTTATAATCAGAAATTAAAGTCCAGGTTTCTTCACGATGTTTTTCTTCACCGTTTGTCAGTGGTGTATAAATAATCTTAGAAAGTATATATAACTCGGAAAAATGTCACATTGGTACTGGCCGTTGGTAAGTTTCAAACCCGCACTCTGATGCATGAGAAACGAGCGTCTTAAACCTTCGGGCCACCACGATACACACGAGACTTGTTTATTGAATTGAAATTAATGCTTCTGAAATTCTACATACACGGTATTAAAACCACAATTTGCTGCATAGCCTGTCTAAATAAATACTTATAATAATTATGTATCTATATCTAAGCTAATTTTATTCATAGTGCGTACTTTAAACTTTTATGCGGCCCACACTTGAAAATATTATGAGCGTTCAAAAGAATAACGGACTTAACTCTAGGTACTCACACGATACAATACAAACATGTTCGATATAATCCTGTCAAATTGCCACTACACGTTGTCGATACTTCCGTAAAATGTACAAGATTGTTTTGAATTTTATGCACGTGCAATACAGTACAAAGTCGCTTTGACCTTGCATTAAGCTGATGCGAGTGTAGTCTTCAAATAAACTTTTTTTACCGAACACCATATAGATTTAATGATAGGGTTTTTTGATATGTTTACAAGATCGGCAAGACAGCAAACTTTATGTAATAAATAAAGCAATCATTTCTACGTTTTACAGGTCTTCATCACAAATTCTCGTAATAGTTTCAAAAATTTCTTAAAATGAAAGCTGACTCACATTGTTCGCCTCATATGTGCCATAATCAAATTGTGTACATAAAATAGTAAATATATAAATAACTATTTCACGACACCCGCTTTGTCATTAATATATTGCACAATGCTGCTCAATCTGCTTATATCTATGAGTCCCTAGCGCGACTTGAAATCAGTTTAGTTACCTCGTTACAATTACGTGAATAATCTGGAAAACTGAATATGCAGAATAATAAACAGAATTTTCAAACTAACGCGATGTTATATAATATTTACAGGAGGAAACAGCTGGCAACATCGCTTCGAGCTACGAGCAAAGTAAGTTCATTCATATTTTATGTTGTCTTAGGAAAAAGTGTATATTCTTAAACACTATGACTTATTTATTAATCAGTTTATACTCTTATGCCTGTACTGCACCTCTGTTTTTGTACTTGTATCATTTCTTCTGTGACCATACTGTCTTTGCGCTGTGTTACGGTATATTACGGTGCCTCGATTTGTTTTAACCTAACTACTTCCTAAAATGTTGTGTTGGACTTGTGCTACCAACTTCTTAGCTATCAGTGAGCGGATAACCTATCAGTACCTATGACTAATAATATTATAGGTATTTTATGTTTTTTAGTTTTTACCTTTTGTTGTTAATCCTATAGTTGAAATGATTTTGTTCCATTTTTATTTGTGTTTGCGATCGTTTTTGCACTTACTTTCTTCAGACGTGTAATTGGGATGATGATACTCATAATCAAATGTTAAAATATCACGCTGAATCATAATTATGTGTAACTTGTAACATATTTTCACTGATTTATGTGCTGTAAACTTTTGATTTCCTAATGGTGATAAAGTACTTTTGTTTTCTTAGGGCTTTCTTTGACACGGATTTCTTTAACATTTTTCCGATTAGGTACTAGATGAAAAATTATGTTTATGTAATGAAACCGCATTAACCTCTGAACATTACTTAATCACAACAACGTTCTTAAACAACAAATTCGTATTAGCGTTTTTAAATCCTACTCTTAATAAGACACTGGCATCGCCATCTATTGAAGAAATACAGAACTAATTTGAAATTTCGATTCGATTCCAATGCAAACTGCGTTAACATTTAAAAATCTTAGAAAGGAGCATAGGTCGCGAATATCGTAATACGAAATTAGGTATCAATACTAAGCCACATGATATATTTTTCATTAAGTTTGGTATAACAAAGTTGGCAATGTTTTTCCTGATAACGATTACCTATACTTCTATACTAATATTATAAAGAGGTAAAATTTGTAAGTTTGTAAGTTTGTATGCAAGGGGTAATCTCTGGAAGTTATAATCCAATTCTAAAAATTTTTTTACCAGCAGAAAGCTGCATTATTCCTGAGTGCTATAGGTAGGCTATAAATTGTTTCTATAACATGTATATTTACCGAGCTATCACAAGTTTTGCCTAGCAAGTCGGAAAAAAAAATCCTCATAAAAAAGAATTATTTGCATGCGCTGCCTAAACTATAAAAGATACAACCATAAAATGTTCTAATTAATTGTAGATCTTATAAATATCTACAAAAAAGTCCGCGACACACTATACCTATCTAGGTCCAGTAAGGCACAACTAGCATTTTTTAAGAAAAAATCTTGAATTTTTTTGGACTACATTTCAATACATTTATTTCACTCATGCTATTAATCCTTATCAAAATATTTATTTCATCACTGAGTACAGTTTATGTAGATAATACTCTTTAAACTGTCAAACACCAAGCGGTCACCGGTGACCGCAACCTATTGTTCTTTAATTGTGTCTATAATGACGGTATTCGACGAGTTAATGAATAGTCTTTAAATGATTAAAATCGGATGTTTGGTTTTGAAGTTATGGCGAAATTAAAATATTACGATTTTTTCTGTACGGCCCGTTTTGAAGTGAGTACCTATTGCCAAGGCGGGAGGGGCGCTTTGGTTGGCATTGACCTACGAAAAGAATGTTTCTCCCATGGGCAATTATATGTTGGTCTATCAAGAGTGGGATCATCCGAAAACCAGATAATTTTTGTTACCAGAAAATAAAACAACCTCAAACATTGTTTATAGAGAAGCTTTAAATTAAATAGATACCTACTCAAATCCTAATTAATATTTCCTAATCCTAACTAAACTAATATTATAAATGCGAAAGTAACTGTCTGTCTATCTGTGTGTTTGTCTTTCCTTCGCGCCTAAACTACTGAACCGATTTGGATGAAATTTTGGTACAGACAGTTTAGAACTCGAGAAAGAACTGACAGTCACTATTCCACGCGGACGAAGTCGCGGGCAGAAGCTAGTCAAATATATCACGGTTCAACAAACAGGTCGATGTTTTATGACATAAGCATCTGCTAAGAAAAGATTTTGATCTTTTCCACCCCCAAGAGGGGTAAAATAAGGGATGAAAGTTTGTATGAAACTTTGTTAGTTTTAGAACGATCGGGTGGAAATTCGGCATTCAGGTGGATGTCATGTAGTAAGGGTTCACTAATAAAGGATAGATCATTTCCACCCCCAATGGAATAAAATAGGGGTGAAAGTTTATGTGAAACTTTGTCATGCATAAAGGTTCTATGACATAGGTATCTCTTAAGAAATGATTTTGATAAATTCCACCCCTAAGGGGATAAAATAGGGGATGAGAGTTTGTATAAATCTACTTAGCTATCGAATTTACTGCATATAGGAATCATGGAATCATTTTGAGTTACATTCGGTAAAACGATAATTTTGAGACCTGGCAAACGATATATGATAGTATTTATTATTACAGAAGTCCCACGGGAACGGGAACAATGCGTTAAAGGACTCTCTATCTCTTAACCACTGAACTTATTTTAGAAAAATTTGGTACAACAATAGTCAATGGAATAGTTATTATCACTCAAACCAACGAACGAGCACTGTACTGGTAAACCCCTGCGGGATTATTGATATTTTAAGACCACGGTAAATTTATTTCACAATAAATCTCACTTAGGCGCTGAGTCGATTCTGATGAATTCTGCCAGAAGTCATTATTCTACGTGGACTGAGTCGCGGGAAACAGCTAGTCATAAATAATCGCGGAAGACTATTCAGTTTTATAAAGTTAAAGAAGAAAAGACTATTAATAATTATGCATATAAACATGAACTTTTAAAATCGTCAGCCACTCCATTAGTAAAGTTGCTTGACTCGAAGTTTCGTATTAGGTTTAACATAAATACATTTACGGTTTCAAAACATTGTTATGGCGAGGCATTTTGTTCGACATACGCGCCTATAATAATTACCCACGGCACACACTGGCGTTGTTAATCCTCGAAAGGTCAGTGAAGTGTTATAATAATGTAACACAAAGTATTGTATGCATTGTATAGTTGTGCTAGTACAATATTATCTACTCAAAACATACATTTTTGTAATATTTGCGATGAAAGAACATCTCTGCGGGGCGCCGCGGCGGGCATCGACTCACCACAGATTTTTAATTATAATATTCTCTTTTCTCTATAATTATACTAACTGCATTTTTATCTAAATTCAAATTTTGTACAAATAAATACTGTTCAGCAGATTTCTCACTTACCTTTATTATAGTTAGTAATAGTTTTTGTAATTACTGAATTAATGAACTAATTTAAATGCGTATTCTGTTGAATTTTTTTTAGCCTTTGAAATAATCTTGTTGAATATTTTTTTGTCGACTTGGTTTTTTTTCTATTCACTTTTTCATGTCTTACACTTTATGTAGGTATGTTTTTAAAGTACCTAAATGAAATAATCATTAATGAATTTCATGTTTAACTCGTCGAGTACCGGTTTTGTAGACACAATTATAGAACAATGGTTGCGGTCACCGGTGACCGCTTGGTGTTTGACAGTTTAATAGAGAAACAAACACTGGCTTTGCAAGTTCGACATCTTGGTCAAAATACCAACACATTTAATTTATCAGAAAATACAAAAACTTTGGAACGGAGGTGTACGAATTTTGCCATACTTTCAAAACGCTAATGTTTATGCATTCATCTCTTGCCTGTCGATATATGAGACACAATAGAACACATTGTGTCTCGCTAACTAAACAGTACACATACTGCTATGAAGTTTACATACGCAAACACAAACGCAATGATACATGATAATGACAATCGATGGGACAAGACTTGATTGCTGTCGAATATAACGGCCAAGGATATTTAACTAACGATGGAAGAGTTTTAAATGTATACAACTAAATTAAATTGGAGTATCTGTTTGTAACATTAAAATTAATGGCGATCTCTAAGACACTATTAATTAATGAATATCATTAAAATATAATTATATAAAATAAAAATATTTAGAAAAGTGTCTCTGAATACCATCTAAACGAGCAATTCTTGTATATTATATATCTTACACTATTATATAAAGCGGAAGAGTTTGTTTTTTTGTTTGTTTGTTTGAACGCGCTAATCTCTTGTCTGTCGACAAGTCTGATTTGAATAATTCTTTTTGTGTTGGATAGCGTATTTATCGAGGATGGCTATAAGCTATAAAACATCACGCTACGACAAATAGGAGCTAAGCAGAGCATGTGAAACCGCGACGATCTCGGAAGCGGCTTCATCGAGGGTTTCAACGGGAATTCGGGGGCGATAATTGATCTAGCATGAAAATCCTTGTAAGAATACAAGCTAAATTTTTCCATCATTAAAGTTAAATTAGCTTAGAATTGAAAGCGGGTGCTATATAAAGATAGAAATACAGTAGATTTGAGTTCAAACATCGATCCGAAAGTGTCCTTTAATTTCTTTTGTTTGGTGTTTTATCTTAATTGGGATCATCACAGGGTATGAAAATTAAAAATCTGATTAGTCCGTAAGTCAGGTAATTAAAAAATATTAATGCCGGAATACTGAAACGTTACTCAATTTAAGTCGTGCTCAAATATCGTGCCATCTCTGTCATTTTATAAAAAAATTGTTGAGATAGAACTATACTTAAGCACGATTTAAAATTGAGTAGCGTTTCAGTATTCTGACATAAGACTCGTATTTTTTTATAATAAAACAATACTTAGATAAAACGTCAAAGTTTTCTTTTTTTAAGGGGGGAAACTGACTGACTAAAAACCACCCCGTTCCTTCTTCTGCACGTTGAGCCGGAGCCCCGGTAACCCGTTAGGTTCTCCACGACACGAATCAAAGTTTAGGAGTGGGGGCTAAACGTCATTTCTACGTGTAAAATGTACATAGAAGTGACGTCACGTGACATTTCAAATCAATATATCGTCGAAAGTTTTCTTTTCTGTAAGAAAATAAAAAAATACGTCTCTAATGATTTGAAAAAATCTACCAGACGGGCATTAAAATAAAAATTAGGCATCTACCCTACTGTTCTATTTTTTTTTAACTATCGAGCAAAGCGCCGTCGCCGTCGCGTCGTCCAGGTATTGTTACTTAAGTTACTAGGCTACCCAGACATTCCATACATCTATGTGACTATAATTTCACCCGTATTTATATACTAGTTGCAGACAATATTGTTTTCAACGAACTGAATGAAATTAAACTGTCAAACACCAAGCGGTCACCGGTGACCGCAACCTATTGTTCTATAATTGTGTCTGCAAAACCGGTACTCGACGAGTTAATGAATACGTAAACTTAAATATATCACCTAAAGCAAATAAATAAGATACCTACCATTAATAAGATGGTGCAATTAAAATTGGTTATCGTTGATGTCTTTTGTATAGGAAAACTATCACAAACGGTTTTTCTTTGTACTTGTCTCCAAGATTGAGATTTAAACTATTTAATTTTATAGAAAGGGATAAAACTTTTCAAGTTATACTTTAAAGTTATGTTTATAAGGAAAAAGGGAGGAAGGGGATCCTGCCTTCCGCGTCAATCCGAATAGAATATTCAGTAGACTATTCAGTGTTTTATTTAAGGGTCACTCTTCGTTTTGTACAACAATCAGTAACTTTATAAGTTCATAGAAATTATTGTGCTACTAATACTTTTTAATGCGAAGTATTATATTTTTTTGTTCATTTATGCAGCCAGCTATTTTATGATTTATTCCGTAAACACATTTTAGAAATCCAATTATATTTATAGTCACATTATTTCTACACCTATCTATTATTTTATACGTATTTTATGAAGATTCCGTAACATTTAATATCATTTTCCGGGACCACTATACCTAATACTAACATACCTGGTTGTCTGTCAGTGTGTCCGAGTATATTGTCAATAGTGTAGGCTGTACCGCGGCGTCCAGCTTCTGACATAGCGACCATACAACACTGCACTTCTCATTCAAAACATTTAATTTACAAAATTAAAATAAAAGCATAAATAAAAACTCCAT